TGGAGAGAAGAGGGTAGGTTTTTTATTATTTTTCCCTAATTAAAAAACAGTCTTGTAGATAACAGCTGTCACTAACAGACATTTTTAATTCTTTTGTTTGGGTACCACTAAAAAGGATGAAATTACTACAAAGGACTCCTACTTGTAATCTGAGAAAATGCCACTCCCAGTGTTGTACTGCTCAGGCTTCTTTACTTGTAGGGTAATGCTGGGTAGCAGACATCAGTGAATACTCAGCTGAAAGGCAGGGTAGGCTTTTGCTCTTGAAGAGGTTTGAATAACTATACTAATATGCCAGTACTGTAACTAGCCACCCATATTCCAAAATAAAACATTCTCTAACCAAGAAATTCTTGGAAGAATGAGATGCGTAATGCTGGTCTGGAAAACTTTGTGCTTAGCTGAATGGGATTTCAAGATTAATTCTACTGTATGGAATAAAATCCCCATTGCAGCCCAGTGCGTACATTTATTTTTTTCTCCTTCCAAAAGCAATTTGCTCTGCAGTTGGCTTTGAATGAAAGAAGACCCTGAAAATAATTATCATGAGCCAAAACTAAGCAGCTTTCCTGGAACTTGTACTGTAGTAAGCGTTGGGTGCTTGTGTTTTCATGTCACGTTCTGTGATGCTTTGGGGAGGAGATGGATACATGATCACTTCTGCATATTAGTTTCTTGTGGATGCTGTAAGGCTTTTCTTTCACTAGTAGTGTCTCAAAGGAGTAAACACGTTAGAATGAGGGACAAGGTTCACCTTGTCTGTGGAAGCAGTCACAGAGGTTAATACCTGACTATGTTAATTTGTGAAAAACAGCTAATAACATCAGTCTCGTTAACAGAAATTGGGAGAAAGAGTAGTTATTTGCTTAATTCCTGTCAACAGAGTGGACATATTCCACAGCTGATGGTGCAGGTGAAGCACATTATGATGGTGCACTCGTACACTGGGCACTGTCAGCTGCTTGCAAGGAGTTACTAATGCAAGAATCTCATGTGTTAGCTTTCTGAATATGCTGTCGATCACAATACCTTTTTTGCTAATGTTTCTCTGCTTATTTTCTGGCTGGATGTTTCTTTTTTCCAGTGAAGAGCTTTGTCAGCATGACCACTATCCTTTTACTAAACAAAACTAAGTACTATTCAGTGGCTGAAATACGTTTTTCTTGGTTCTTTTCCTTGTTTTCATACTGATGTAATGCTTAACAGTATTAACTGGTATTAATGAGCCAGACATTCCAAATTGATGACAATGTTTCCCGTCACAGCAATGCAGGCATCATAGGATTGATTGCTGAGACAGTGCCCAGTTAACAGACAAGGAGAATGAGGGGTTTTTCTGTGTCCTGGGAGCTTCACAGATCTGCACTCATGAGTCCCACCTGAACTGGACTTAGATTGTACAACACAGGGTAGAAAACCGCAGTAGTGCTGCTCTGCATTCATGTGTGCTTTTCATCCATCCTTTTTCTTTTAAGGTGAGGTTGGAGGAGAAGGCTTTTCTGGTAGTGGTTCCTGTTTTAGTTTCTGAATGATCCCACCTGTTCTGCTTGTATTGGAAAGGTTGGATCTATTGCCCAAGGAAGTTGTAACATAATTGACAGCTGAGGTTGAGCGCAGTACCATTTGAGGAGCTGTTTGTGCTAACAGAAAAATGTCTATGGCTGGAATGCTGTTCATAGTGCTCATTTATCATTGTTAGCTTTCACAGTATACTTTCCTTTTTTTATTTTAATATAAACGGCATTAGCAAGCTGCACATGAAATCAGGTGGGTTTTGGAAATGGTGAAATTAATTAAAAAGTTGAATGTGAAATTATCGATAATATGGATTTGGTTGTTCTTTAGGACTGTTTGACCATGTTTGTTGTTTGTCTATCACTGATACCTTGAATACTTCATGTTTGTTGTAATACTTCAAGCTTTGGGGTAGGTGGGAATTGTGTACAGCTTGTTTATGTCACTAGGTCATGGTTTTGGTACATTTTTTCCTCTAAAATGATGTTTGTAGGCCAACACGTTACGGCCGTCTACAGATGTGGAACATCCCTACAAAGCCTTCTCCTTGGAAGGCTGAACAAGCCTGGTTCTCTCAGCCTCTCTTTGTGTGTCACTTGCTCCAGACCCCAGTCGTGTGGGTGCCTCTTTGCTGGTCTGGCTCTGGTGTGTCTGTATTACAAACACAAGTTACTACGTTATGCTCTGTCATGATTTAGGATTGCTGTACTTCAAGGTGTCATAACAAGTTTGGGGTTCCTGTCTAACCATTATTTTAAGCTTTCCCCCCTCCCCCATCATTGAACTATTGCATCTGAAAATATCTTGGGTAAGGGAAATTACAATGAGATTTTTAAGGCAAGGAGCTTGTGTTTTGACTTCAATTTCAAACCCATGTAAATCAAAACAAAAATATTCTAAATAGGTTTTATTTCTCAGATAGTGTCTGTGTTTTCTAAGTTCATTCTTAGCAGTACTTTGTAACAGCAGGATGTCAGAGGAGCTGAAGATGTTTCTACAAAAAGAAGGAATGGAAAAACCACCAGAACTCACTCCTGAACATAAATATGAACATTGTTTTCAGTGCTGAGGTTCCTCTAGTTGAAAAGCTTTGAAAGGACTGCAGTTGGGCAGAGATGTGAAAGCCTTACCTTGAAGACTTCTGTAGACCCTTTTTAAGTTTTCAGGTGCATTATTTTGGTGTTCTCCACTCTTGTAACTTGCCCCATCTTTTTCTTCTCCAGGAATATGAAGAAAAAACTGGACGAGCTCACAGACCACTCTCTCCTAAACAGAATGTGAGGAAGAATCTTGATTTTGAGCCACTCTCCACTACAGCGCTTATTTTAGAGGACAGACCAGCGTAAGTTTTGGGAAGTACCACAGTGAGGGTCTTGTGAAAATTAGACCAGAAAGCTGTTCTTACTGTGTGTATTTGATAAATTATCTGTTTAAGTTAGAGGAAAAACTTAAATTTAATTTTTTTTTTTTTCAGGCTAGTGAGTACAGAAGTGTGATGATTGTGAGAAAAATTATTCAAACAAAAGTAACCTTGTTTCATAATAAAAACTATGGCTTTATATGAAGGGAGATAATTAGGAAAGCAGAGCTCTATTTTTGAGTAATTCTGCCTTGTAAACATGAATAAGGTATTTTTATTTTCCCTGAGAGAACATAAGCATAAAAAGAAGTTGATATAACCTAAAGAAATGGAGAGGCAAGGATACAGTGTCCTGTTTACACAGAGAAAGATCACATCTCCATAAATAATGAAACAATGTAATGATTGTTCTACAGTGGGTTCAGCATTGCATTTTAAAGGTTGTCAAGTACTTGATAAGTTGTTTCATGCTTCTGTTACTGTAAGGACGTTCTTTCATATACAGACATACTCCATGAGGATTTACTAGCAGCTGCTTTACCATGACACAAATTCTGTCATGTTTAGAATCACAGACTGGTTTGGGTTGGAAGGGACCTTAAAGACCATCTAGTTCCAACCCCCCTGCCATGGGCAGGGACACCTTCCACTAGACCAGGTTGCTCAGAGCCTCATCCAGTCTGGCCTTGAACACTTCCAGGGGTGGGACATCCACCATCAAATTAGTCAATTTATGAATGGTACCCAGCTTTACAGCCATGGCACCCGCTTTTTTAATATAGCTGTATATCGGTGTAAAGAACTGGCATAACATAGGTCTGTGTTTTCATCCACAAATCTGTATGAAGAATGCTCATATCAAACTAATCTACTTGTAGGGTTATTTAAGACAGTTTTTGGCTTGACTGTGTGACAAGATTCCTTGGGGCATCTAGAACAATGCAAGTGTGATTATTTGTTATAGCAGGTTTTATTGTGTACAGCTGGAAACAATAGATACTAGCTTATTTTTTATATTTAAAACCTGTGTGTTAAAAATCATTCTTTATGTGAGATAATCTGAGAAATACAATGGTCAGGTAGATTGAGTTAGTGGCACGTTACATCGTAACATTCAGATTTTGCTTTCTTTCCTACTACTGATAGACTGTGGAACTTCTAGCAGGAAAGGTATTTTTATGATTCGAAACAACTGAATTATCATTTCTTTTGTCTAGTAGGGAAAACTGCTCTGGACAACAGTGCTCTCCTCAGATTATTCTTTCTAAAGAATCTTTTTTTATTGTTCACTTACAGTTTGCATAGTGTGGTGGGTTTTTTTATTATCTATTAGGCTTCAAGTAATTTCTTTTTGATTTCCCATGACAAAAAGATTGAAGACTTCCTGAAGAAAAATGCAGTGAGATTTTTTCCAAAATGGCTTCTCCTAATTTTTTCACTCACTTTTAGGGTTTAGGTAAAACTTTGTAGATAAAATCAATAAATATTCCATAGTCCTTCTAGCTTTAACTGGAAAAAGTGTTAGTTCAGTCTTAATAGACAATAAATGTCATCTCACATGTATGGTAGTACTGTTAAGAGACAGGACGAATGTTTGAAGTCATAGAATTTAAGTTAGCAGAACTTGCATTTTTTCATCTGATTCTCCTTTCCAAACTTTCCCTAACCCCATTTCTAAAGACTTGGATTTAAAAAAGATGCTGGTCAATTTGCATAAACAAAACTGGGGATGAGAAGATCGTTGTCTGTGGTTAGCAATGACACTAATGTGAAAATCCACTTCTCTTGTTCCTGTAAAAATCTTGATTTTAGAAAGTATTCGTAGACATGTAACACGTGGCTGTGCATAGTTTGCAAGCACTGTGATTATGTAAATAGTAAAGCATGCTGCTATTAGTGGTGACTGTGATGATGGCTAGCAGCTGCCTTATGCGTGACACCTTACAGGAGTGTGAAAGTGAATGTGTGCCTATCTTTTTTATTTACCAAAGATACAAACTGCCCTAGGAATGTAATAGTGTTCTGCAGTACAGAAGAACAAAACACTTAGTCATTTCCTGTTCTGATGTTTTGGTGATCCTGTATTTGTATGAGATACACAGTGGTTATGTTAATTACAAATGTGATTAGCTTGAAGTTCATGTGGTCTGACAGAGGAGCATGTGTGTGTATGGCAGAGGTGTTAGCAGGCCAGGATTTAGTCACAAGTCACAATGGCTGTGTTGATAGTGAGAACTGGAGGTACAGAGGGTGACTCCAGTGCCACTTGTTGCTGCAGAAGTGAGAGGGAGGAGTTAAGCCTTTAAAATAGAAATGGGGTCTTGGAGAGCAGGGGGGACAAGGAAGCTGGTGTAGGAAGTAATTACTGCATGGGTAAAGAAATTTGTGGGTGTAACTCCTAAACAAGGTGCGAAGCAGAGAGGATAGTTTTGTATTTTACTTGTCGAGATCAGGTTATTGCAAAACTACCAGCTTGGTATATACCAGTATATCTCTTTTATTTATGAAGATCAGCCTGTCGGTTCTGTTGGCTTAATAATAAAAATGCTGAAATTACCAAACATAAGGAAATTACTCAGCATATTCTGTGTGTAAAAGTAGTCGTAGCTGGTCAGTGTTCTTTCCTTCTCTTCTGCTGACTGGCACAAAAAATTCTTTCCAAGGATCTGGTGCTCTACTTTTTAATCAAATATTTTGACAAGAAGCAGTGTTTTTCTTTTAGACGTGTCTAGAATTTTCTTTAGATGGGCATACCAACTTTCAATACTGATTATTTTTTTTTAAATTTAAGGAACCTCCCTGCAAAGCCAGCAGAAGAAGCTCAGAAACACAGACAGCAGTACGAAGAAATGGTTGTTCAAGCGAAAAAAAGAGGTGATGGAATTTCTTGTCTTCAGAGAAGTGAAGTTAAGGGGTATTTCAAAACCTGAAATGCACTTGTCAGTCTGTTGCTCTGTAAGATGAGGGATCTGTACCTCCCCTCAGAGAAGAATCAGTCCAGAGAAAAGAGGAACAAAAGTAGTTTCATTAAAAAGACCCTTCCCAAGCTGGAAAAGAAAACAATCCTAGAAAGTAGCAGGAAAGAATTTTGGTAATTTGTAACTTCAGTAATTGAGTAGCATCTGTTGTGGGTTCGAAAACTTACTAATATATTGAAGTAGACTCTCAGTCAAATTAGTGAAGATTAGACTTACTTAGATAACTACAGGATTTGATAGTTTCATGTTGGGAGCAACTCGTTGAGGGTGTAGTACATAAATGGATCATTTTACATATGAAAGAATATATGTAGTTAGGTTCATTTGAAAATATCACTTAAAATTTACAGCTTTTCCAAGGATTTGCTCATAATTTCTTGTCTGACATTGTTCACAGAAGTGTCTCGGCAGCACTGTACTGTGTGCATCAGGTAGAGCTGACAGGAGTGCTTGCCTTCTGATATTCCTGACCATTTGGGTTTTCTGATTAAAAACAAGCATTGCAAAAATGGGAAGTTTGGACTCACAGAAGTTTTGTGTCTAGTGAGAACTACTGGAAATATGTTTCTTCCAGCTGGCCATACCCCTGAGCGTTATGAAACAGTGGAAAGGTGATATGAGCACAGGACTTGCTTTCTGCAGTTGACAAATTAATAAAAGTACCCTCTTGTGATTTTGAACATCGTGCACCTTCCAGTGAAGTTCTAGCTTTATGTGACTCCCATGTTAGTAAAGGAATTTCTCTGTTCTTTCTTTGCGAGCAGGGTACGTGGTTTGGGAGAAATGGGGTGATGCTCAGGTTGGGCAGTGGGCCAGGCCCTTGTGCTGTCTTCACTGGGCTGGACTATGTCATTCTGTCCAGATAAATACCCTGAAAAACCCGTTTTCCCTAAAGCCACTCCAGAGGAACAACTTTGCAGGGTGATGTATTATGTAGAGGTCAGGAAATTAAAGAGAGTAAACACCCTCTTTTTGCTTAGAGAAAAATTCAAAGCCTGCATTGAGGCAGGCTTACAAGGAGCTCATATCAAAGCTGAAAATATGAGGTGGTTGGTATGGTTCTGCTCAGGCACTGCTTCTGTTGGGCTTTAAAGTGGACCCAGCAGGTTGCATGTGTTCGTTCCAAAGACCTTGGTACTGCTGTTGTTCATCAGTTAGTTTTCCTTGCCAGGTCAGTACTTTCCTGTATTGTAGACAGTATGTGTGTGCATGCACATGTCCTGTATTTCCACTGTGCTGCTATAAAGAGTGTCTGCCTGCATTTGTTAAGTTGCATGACTAACAAATTTGCCGGTGGAAGAATAGTAGTTAATGATGCAGAAGGAAATACTGAGTGATAATGCAAAAATGTAAAATATATTTAAACTGAACATGAAAAATGTTTTCATTTTTAAATGAACGGAAGGTTTCCAGTGTGTATATATTTGTGATGTATGATATTTAGTTTGAGTATATACTAATTAGCATTAAAAATGTGGCTCTTGTGATTTCCTGACAATATATCTAAATCATAATTCACAAAGTCAACACATAAGAGTGAAAACAAAATAGAAATTTTGTATTATTTAGCTTGTATTTTTGAGTCTGTCATTGAAGTGAAGCACTGGAACAGGTTGCCCAGAGAAGCTGTGGATGCCCCATCCCTGGAAGTGTTCAAGGCCAGGCTGGATGAGGCTTTGAGCAACCTGGTCTAGTGGAAGGTGTCCCTGCCCATGGCAGGGGGGTTGGAACTAGATGGTCTTTAAGGTCCCTTCCAACCCAAACCAGTCTGTGATTCTGTGAAAAAGGAGGTGGGGCTTTATTATGAAATACTCTGACCACTCCTACTAGGTGGGGCTTTTGGCTGTCATAGATGCTAATTTGAAGGATCAAAGCAACCATGTATTATCTAGCTCCCTTTTCCCATCCACCGAAAATGAGCCTTATGCGTACTTCCACTTAGTTCTTTATTCACATTTGGCATCACCGCTTAGCTTGCTGCATGTCTGGGAAATTTTTAGAATTTGGACACTCCGCTATACATTTAGGTGACTAGTGTGCTTTTCCATGGCTGGATAGCCATAACTAGCTAACTCTGAATATTTGGTTTCTGGCTTTATTAACTTAAAAATGTAACTTTTTCTGCAGAGCTTAAAGAAGCCCAGAAGAGAAAGAAACAACTGGAAGAACGCTGTAAACTGGAAGACAGCATCGGCAATGCTGTTTTAACTTGGAACAATGAAATCTTGCCCAACTGGGAAACTATGTAAGACAGTATGTTATACTGAGTTTTAATAAAAATTGATGAGTCTGTATCCTGAAGAGAAGTTACAAAGTTAGCAAGTATCATTTTAAATAGTCTTTTAAGTTTTTTGGTGGAGAGCACCACAGCTACAAAGACAATCAGCAACATACATTCCAGTATTTCTACAAGGTGGCTGGGAGTGAAGCAGTTCTTATTATTTGTCTTTAATGGAGTTTCAGGTTATTCAGAAACTGTGAGACAGGGAAGTGATCTGTGGTAGAGAACGTGAAAGCAGAAAGCATAATGCTGGAATGCCATGCACTTATCAGAAATGAGCTTTCCTTGACTACTTGAGCTGCTGATGTTATGTCAGATGCAGATTGAAATATGTTTGTAGTATTAAGCAGCCTCTTTAATTACAGAGTGGTACACCTGCTGGGATAATCAAGTGATGGGAAAGAGAAGTAGGGAAAAAGTTATTTAAAAAAAAAAATTAAGTGCTAAAAGATATCCTGTAAAGACACAGCACAGCCAATTGGTAAAGCTACCTTTGCTATTTAGTTTTCCATGGACTTTGCTAGTAATTAAAAAAAAAACAGCCCCCCTACCATGAGTGTAACCACCACCACCACAAAATAAATGAATCTCCACGGCACTCAAAATTGCAATTTGGTTATTCATGGAGTTCAATTGTCCTTAAAATATATGTTAAAAATATGGACAGAATTTGTTGGAAAATGCATTTCTGGAGAACTGAAGTAATAAACTAAATATAAGCAAATTGTAGATTTACATGTCTGCCTTTAGTATTTGAAGATACATCTGTTATGGCTGCTGTAAAAATAGGGACACCTTTTCTCGTATTGGTTTGTAAATCTGGAATCTCTTCATTGTATTCACTGTTTTACATCTTATTTCGGAATCTGCTTTTACATAAATGGTGGTTGTGTTTCTTTTGTCACTGCTACAGACTTTCACTGGTGCTTAGGTGCTATTCTGTTTCTCCTTCTGGGCTCTCAGGGTGATGAACATCATCTGCAGCCACTTCAGAGCCTGTGTTCTGTTAAAATGTCTTTCACGCTTCCACCTAAAAGTTATTACCTGTTACATCTTCATGCATTTTTCTGTTGCAGCTGGGTAGGAAACTGCATGTCTCATTAGCACAGCACGGTGATGACAGAGGGGAGAGAGAGGGTGGGCTTCTGTCACTTGTTTCTGTATTTGCAGTCTTACATGGAGATGTCCAGTCTTGGGCATGGGCAGTCGCATAGATACGGAATTTGTTTCCATTTGTGTATTTTTGTCCCCTACAATTCTTGATGGTCAAGTGTGGTTGCAAATTACGGATGTTGTGATTGCAGTGCTGCTGTCAAAATAAGCCGTTCACTTGGAAGGAAATAAGCTTTCTTGTACAGCTTAAAGCGAAATAGTACTAAAAAAGGGTGTGTGCAAATGGCATTTGACTGCTTGGCCTGTTGATGTTCATCTTGGGTTGGATCCCTGCAGCAGTGGTAGCAGGACACATCTGCAGTTCCCCTGGCAGTGAAATATTTCTTAGTGTAATTCATTTTTCTTTTAAACAGGTGTTGTTCCCGTAAAGTTCGAGATCTGTGGTGGCAGGGCATTCCACCAAGTGTGAGAGGCAAAGTCTGGAGCTTGGCAATTGGCAACGAGTTAAACATCACCCATGGTGAGTTGTTTTGTCTGCACTGGCTGACAGAGAGAAATAATGAGGGGATGGTGTTGTATTTCTTACGGTGTATCAGAACCTGAGGTGTGGGTTTGAGGAGTTACCTAGTTATGCTGCTTAGAATTGTTAATTTTGTAATGCCTATGAATATGCATGTGGTGTGCTTCCGTTGATTTAGAGCAAGACATTAGGTTTGTGAGAAATCAAGAGACCCCTGGGAAATTTTTGCTTTTGTTTATGTGTGTGTTTGTGAAAACAGAAATAGTGTGCTGCTTCAGAGTACAGAAAAACACAGTTCTGAAAGACTAAGATGGGTAATTCCAACATGGAAATGCAGCAGACTGCTTGTACTCCTGCTGTATGGTGCCGCTTTTCTGTGCTTAGCTTAGTTACACTGAGTGTAGCTCTTACATGGAATTTTCTGGACTTACCCAGTCAGACTGTAATTTTCAACATCAGTGCTCTGTAAGAAAAGCAAATGCTTGAACACGAAATGCATCTTGGGCCTAGATTGTCATTCCTTTTCACCTAATCTTAAGGTACAGGGAAGCGGAACAAGTCTTTCAGAACCGTAACCTACTTGGAAGCTCAACTACTATGTTAGAGTTGGTGTACTTGCAATGGCTGGTGCAGCACTGCTCGTGTGGTGGGTCGGTAGTACCTCACAGTGGACATGAGCACATACAAATAGCAGACTTGCTTTTCTCTGTATTTCTTTTTGCAGAACTGTATGATATTTGCCTGGCTCGTGCCAAAGAGAAATGGCGATCCCTTAGCACAGGAGGGGCTGAAGTAGAATGTGAAGGTACGCTCTTCATGAATGATTTATGCTGTGTTACAGAGCAAGAGATTTTGTAGAATTGTTCCTTAAAATGAAATCACAGGCTTTAAACAAATTTCAGCTATGAAGATGCATCTGGTAAAAAGAAAACTTCTTTTTGGGGAAGCAAGAAATAGCTGTAATCTTTCTTCCCCGTGAAATTACGGTCTCTTATAAAACACACTTGTTCATTTTTCTTTATAAACTGTCTCTAGGTACAGTTCTTATTTGATGCCAACTGGAAGTAAAACTAGGATAGTTTGGGCATTATAATTTGAATTGCAACACTGAAGGACTTTGCATCTGTAGTTTTGGAGTTGAAACTGAAATTATAGCAGAAAATTGCATTGTGGTCCCTTATTGCAACTTTGAGCCCATCTCTTGGGTGTGTTTCAAAGAGCAGCAATTTAGTTTTGCAGATGAAGTGGTTTGAGTTTTACTAATTGATCAGAAGAGTTGTCTGGTTTTGAGAGATTGTAAAACTCCATGCATATGCTTGAAAATACCTTTGATAAGTAATTAAGCTGAGTAGAAAAAGGAGAACTTACATACTGGCATTTATCAACAAATATGTTTGATTGGAAATCCCCTACTCTGTTCTTTTAAGGTTGTCTGCATCTTATTTAAGATGTTCTCTAGCATGTTCCAGCTTCCTCTTGCACTTCATGTTCTGGAGTGTAGATGCTCATGTGATTAGTGTAGGCACTGGCTAGTGACAACTCTAGTGTTCTGATTGCTCCGTAAGTAGCAGTATGTGATTCCCAACTATGCTTGGCAGAATAAACAAAATGCAAATAAAACTCTTCGATATCAGGAAGAAAACTAATACTTTAGAAATTTGCTTCGTGTGAGTTCCATTTCAGTTATGGAGAGTGTATTGCAGACTCCATGATCTTTAACAACACATACAAAGAGTAAATAAACCATGATTTTCGGAGGGTGGCTGACAGTAGTAGAGATAGGTGGCATCCATCAAATGCTTCTGCTTTAGGACCTCTCCCTCCCATGGAGGCAGCTATTTCAGGAGCCACTGGGAGGCCTTGTTGAGGGGTCACAGGTTAACAGGCTTATGTCTGTCTAATGATTTCTCAGCAAATACCAGTGAAGTGGCTGGCCTGTCTTGTCCTGCAACTTTCCCCCCATCGCTTCGAAGCACTGAGGGTCAGTGTGCACTGTAGGGTTGCTGTGACTCAGGACATAATTGTGTCTTAGCCTGTGTGGTGTATTCAGGGAATTGTCCTGTCTGTACCCCTGTTCCCTAGCATTCGCATCAAAAGAAACAAACTGTGCAAAAGCTAATCCTTACTGGGGAGGGGAAAAAAAGAAAGCATATGCACTGATCCATGTAATAAATGCAGTAACTTTGGCTTTTGTAGATGCTGGATTTTCTGCAGCTGACAGAGAAGCAAGCTTGGAGTTAATAAAACTGGATATCTCAAGAACATTTCCTAGTCTGTGTATATTCCAGCAGGTCAGCTATGTTAACTTTTGCTTGATTTCTCAGAGAAATTAATTTTACATCATCTTGCCTGTCCCTTGGTTGGAAGAGCCCATTGAGTTCAAAACTGAAGGAGTAAACATCCTGAGAAAGTTCCAAAAGATTTTGGAAAACACTCAGTAGTCTAGAAAAGAGTAACCTCCAGGTACTGCGCATTTGGAAGAGGTAAAAAAGCACTCTGTTGAGTAGTCATCATGATTCATCTAGCCCTGCTCGTGCCGGTTGCTGTCCGATGAATTCAGGCAGGTGAGTGTTTCCAAGGCAGTGAATCAGCACTGCTGGGTTGCAGATACATGGTATGTGAGATTTGGTGACCTTTTATTGGTTCCAAGCAAGACCAGTTTAACCTGTGTGTTTTAAAGACTCATTTTAAGCAGGTATTTTGTCCTTCTATACACAAATTTCAGCAGCCCTGTAAGAAGTTTAGATTGTGCTAAATCAGTATTTTTGAGTGGAAAACTTTTCCCTTTGGAAATTCCCAGCCAGTTACGGTACTTGGTGTATGAAATACTTTTTAGCTGTATGTGTCATTCTGGGTACGGGGGGTGTGTGTGTTACATTGTTGTTGTTTTAACTGTTTTCTTCATGGTTGAATTCTGCCTCTAGTTTAATAGACAATTAAATTGTTTAATAGGCAATTAAGTAGTTCTCATTAGTGTTCTGCTTTCTTGGCACTACTGTCAAAGTGCTGCTAAGCTATAAGGAATCTCTTAGGCTTACGTTCCTCTTGCGTAAGGATTTAATGTGCATTTGGTGTATTGGATGAACTTTATGTTTCACGCTTTTAAAGCCAAAATTATTTTGAAAGTCTTGGGCAAAGCTGCCCAAATAGTGTCCTTCATCAGAAGTGATGGGTACTGTCTGGAGCACTGAAGGGTTTTTAATGTTTGGTACATACTCAGATGTGTTGTCTTGTTTTTGTTTTAATTATAGGGTGGTCCTTACCATGACACGCTGCACAGTATTTTAGGAGCCTATACTTGTTACAGACCTGATGTGGGCTATGTAAGTGAAGAAATGTTTTTTCAGGGGTGGGGAGGGAGAACTAGGAGGAGGGAGGATTGCATTAATCAGGCCTTTGTAGACCCGTATTAAATGATTTTGTGAATACTTGTGGGGTTTCTGTGTGCTTTCTTCTGTTCCACTACATGCTTGAGAAGTGTATATAATAGTTCTGTTGGTATATTTAAGCCTTTCAACGGGTTAAGTAACTGGAAAGCTCAAAAATAAATATTTGTAGTGATTGAAAGTTGGATTCAAAAGAGATGATGTAGTTAAATTGGTCCTTTGGCAGTCTTACCAAGACTCTTCTGTTGAGTATCTTACTCCTCCTGATATGCATTTTTGTGCCTTAGCACTGTGAGCTGCTGAACAGTCTTTAAAGCAATGCCCATCAGGGCTACGTGAGCTCTCTCAAAGTCTTTGAAATAGTGATTATGAGAGGACTTGAGTGGGTTTCAGATACTTCATTTAGTCTTTTCCCCCAGAGCAGGGATATATATATAGAAGCTTATTCTTTTTTTTGCAGGAGCAGTTGTTTTAGGGAAGGCAAATGTAGGAAGAGAACATTCCTAATCTGTGCGTAGCATGCGATGCTTGGCGAAAGCTGCTGAACATGACTCCTTCATTTGGCATGGAACCTGTTGTTGTGTTCTGAAGGAGCTTGTTCCTCAGGTTTTCAGGAAGGACTGTCACGCCTTGGTCCATGTGACTGCAGTGGCAGCGTTACAACCTCTGAGTGTGCAAGCTTTTGCATCATTTTCAGCACTGATTCCATAGCATACTCTGCAGCCACATCATGAGCTTGTTTCATTTACCATAAGAGCTTAATCTTAAAATGCTACTTACTGCTTGTCAAATGAGTCACTGAAGTTGTCTGTAACTGCCAGGAATTGATTGAAAAAGGAAAGAACAGGCTTTGTCTCTAGTGTCCTAGTCCAGTCCAGCTTTCCACAAATGAGGGTGTATATGATGCATCCCTAGGAGAAGAGGGATTACTTAAAAACAGCTTATTCTTCAAAAAACGCTTTATTCTGCATATTTGAAAGTGCTGTCAGCTGAGCCTGTCCTGGGAGTTTTACTTAGCCTTTGAAAGGAGGCAACATGGGGATCATTAGCTTACACGCTCTGAACGTGCAACACCGAAGGGTCACGTCGGTTAAAAACCCCTGCCTTTCTGAACGTTTCGCAGAATTCAGCAGCTCAGTGAGTGCATTCAACACTAGTGATTATGAGTACAAAATGAGGCAGTACTCTTGGAAGAATACAGTTATTGCTGAATGGTAACGCTTCTCCTTTCTTCAGGTACAGGGCATGTCATTCATAGCAGCAGTGTTGATCTTGAATTTGGATACTGCAGATGCCTTCATTGCTTTTTCTAACCTTTTAAATAAACCCTGTCAGATGGCATTTTTCCGTGTGGACCATGGCCTTGTAAGTATGCAAGAAAACTCTGACTGACATGTTGTAGATATACGTAGGGGAAGCTTAAAAGAAAAATAAATTGATGAACTCAGTAGCTTGAAAAATGAGTCAGGACTTATTTTAAAGCAACACATTTAATAAAAAAACCCAGCACGTGCACACCTCCTCAAAAAACCCAAACCAAACTCCACCCTGCTAACATTTTTGAACAGGCAGCTGCGATATTGTGATGCTCAAAGAATAGTTATGACAATATTATTGTAGGTGGTTTTCAAGTTGAACACTGTAGTTAAAAGCTGAAAACACCGTAATACTAGAAGTGCCTCGAAGGTGTTTTTTATGCCAAACTAATAGGTTTCTAAAAATAGGCTACTGCAGGGAGAACCAGGCTTCCTGTCTCTTATTGTAGCAGCTGTGTTTGAAAAGGAGCCTGGGAGAATCAGATGAGCAGACCACTGCAATTTCCAGTGGGAGATGGTTGCCTGATTCTCTCCGGAGTCTCTAAAATTCCTTGTTAGCATGTACAGTGAGCTGCTTGTGTACCATAGCAAAATAAGACACATCTCCTGAAATGTGTTTTTATTTTACAAAAACATAGTTTTAAAGTAAATTATGTGACATTCTGTATTTCTCTCTCACTTCTTTACCTTTTGACACTATGAAAACAGGATATGCTTCTCAATCATAGAATCATAGAATGGTTTGGGTTGGAAGGGACCTTCAAGATCATCTAGTTCCAACCGCCCTGCCATGGGCAGGGACACCTTCCACTAGACCAGGTTGCTCAAAGCCTCATCCAGCCTGGCCTTGAACACTCCCAGGGATGGGGCATCCACAGCTTCTCTGGGCAACCTGTTCCAGTGCCTCACCACCCTCTCCGGGAAGAACTTCTTCCTGATATCTAATCTAAACCTCCCTGATTTCAATTTAAACCCATTGCCCCTTGTCCTGTCACTACAGGCCCTTGTAACAAGTCCCCCTCCATCTTCCTTGTAGCCCCTTCAGGTACTGGAAGGCTGCAATAAGGTCTCCCCGGAGCCTTCTCTTCTCCAGGCTGAATAAGCCCAACTCTCTCAGCCTGTCCCCATAGCAGAGGTGCTCCAGCTCTCTGAGCATCTTCGTGGCCTCCTCTGGACTCGCTCCAACCATCTATATCCTTCTGATGTTGGGGGGCCCAGAGCTGGATGCAGCACTCCAGGTGGGGTCTCACAAGAGCAGAGTAGAGGGGGAGAATCCCCTCCCTCGACCTGCTGGCCACACTTCTCTGGATACAGCCCAGGATACGGTTGGCTTTCTGGGCTGCCAGCGCACACTGCCGGCTCATGTTCAGCTTTTCGTCTACCAGTACCCCAAAGTCCTCAAGTTCTCAAGAGGTCAAATGGGTGAAATAAAGCAAGGGAATGGACAACATTAGCAACAATCACTTCTGTTGCTTAAACAGTAGGACACTAGGGATCCTATCAGTATTCCCCACTGGAAAAGCAGTGGGTAATTTCCTTTTGCAGTGCCCGAATCTCGTTGATCGTAAATGCACACGGGGAGCACAGCACAGATAGCATTGCTAGAAGCAGTAGCAGTCATCTTTATTACTGTGCTTGGAAAAAGAGGACATGCTCATGCATTCAGTGCGTAAATATGGTTCTTGTGAAGATGATTTTGGAAATAAATTTGCTAGAATAAGATTGGGTTTTCGCTGAAATAGTGGGTTTTGGTGTGTTCTTGGATAGTGTAATTTAGTTCCATTATCCTGGCTAAATAGAGGCTACATGATAAATGAATGCATACAGTAGAGATGGTGATATATGAAATAATATTAACATACTGTGAAATTACAAAGCCATGATTAACACCACAAGGAAAACTTTACACCTAATACATCAGACAGAGTAGTGACATGTAAAATGAGGCACTTTTGGCTTCCTGTGGTTAATATACTGATCTGCTGTCTACCCTCACCTTTTTGTGTCCGTTTTACAGCTTAATAGCCAAATACTGATTTGTCTTAACATATAATACATGAAAAAAATAAAACCAGCATAAGTTAGTTGTGGAAATTATAATAATTTATACTGATTTATCTCGACATCTTTTGTTGGTTACAGTTTTATTAAACTAATTTTTTTAATTACTGCGAAATCAATGTCTTCTTGAATGTTGATGTAATCAAGATAAATTTCTGAACTGCTATTAAATTTCTAATAGAGCTGGCTGTATTACTATCAGTAGATGTGGTTGCAGCAGTCATGTGTAAGATTCCTTCTCTAAAGTACTTTTGAAACACCTCAGTAGAACTTTTACCATGGGGCTAGCATGTGAACAGATAATTCCGGAAGTAGGAGTGTCTGTTGCGTTACCTGCCTCTTGATACTCACAGACCTCATGTGATGCTTGGATTTCATGTATTTAAAAACCCATGTTGGGAAGTGTTTCAGTTGTACAGTTCTCTAAAGTGGATTTCTAGATTTCTGGTTTCATGTTGGCCATGAAGTTGTTTCTCGGTACCTGACAGTCCAGAGGTTTCAGAGATTTTTACGTACCTGTGTATGGCTGTTCTGTAGCATGCACCCGTCTCTGATTGATTGGCTTTCAAGCCTTATACTTTTACTGTCTACCAGGATCAGGTTTTTTTATTTTCAGCTGTTAATGTAAAGTAGTCCACCATCTGTCACTTCATTCAGATGAAATGGGAAAAATTACTGTGAGAACATTAAAAAAAAAAAGTAGGGGAAACAAATCTGTCATCCATTAAAAGGACTTCAGACAAAGGACTCCAGAAGTCTTCTCTTTTCCCTTTGCTGTCATGGTGTTTTGGGGAGAAGCACGCTGGTACAACTCACACTTTGAAATAATCACAGCCATTCTTTATTGCCTTTATTGGGGGATGGTAATTGAAATTATTGAAACATTCAAGGACTTGGCTTAACTTTTCTCCCTATAGTAGTGAGAGGACAGGGTGGGGGAGCTAAAAAGCCTCTTGTTTTTAAATCTTAGTTGGATTGGAAGATTTTATTTTTCGATGCCCTCTGTCATGAAATTTGATGTAAATATTCAAATTTTAAAGCAGCGTGAAAGTGTTTGTGTTGAAAGCAATACAGTTCAGGAGTTAACGCTGTCAGATGGGAGTTAGAATCTATTTCTCTTGCATAGGTGCTTTGTCTTGATCTTTGGTTTTCCTGTGTGAATTTCATCTCTCCCCTATTGCAATAGAAATGCGATTATCCCTTTTTAAAACGTGTGGTATAAAAGAAGCTTTGGTATTAGAATATGATTTATGATTGGAGCCAACTGGACACTTCACTCCTGCTGTGGACTATTAAATTATTTTAGTTTCGTATTTCATTCTGTAATCCATTGGGCCTTGAATTTTATTCAGTGTAATATTAAATTACTCCCACAATCATAAAGCACCATTCTGTTATCATAATGACTTTGAGAGATAAGTGAATAACTTGGGCTGGTATTTTTCTTTCCAAAGGAAGCTGGCCAAGACCCAAACCAATAATTACATTGTATGAGAAGAGTATATAGGGTATATAACGTTGTAGGGATCTTAAACTCTCTGCGCTTGCAGATGCTGTCCTTTATGTAAATGTTTAGCTCTTTATTGTATTATCTAATTCATGTGATCTTGGTTTTGAAGAGCATTAATCTAACAGCAGATAATACGTGTAAGCCTATTACAACTAACTGCTTTTCTCTCCCCGTTGTATTTTCCCAGATGTTGACTTACTTTGCTGCATTTGAGGTATTCTTTGAAGAAAATCTGCCAAAGTTATTTGCTCACTTCAAAAAAAATAACTTGACTCCAGACATCTATCTCATTGATTGGTAAGACATGGAAAGTGGAATGAATGTGCATCCTAGCGTGCAGCTCTGTGTCAGTGTTCGTGACAGAAGCTGGAGTGCTCCTACCTGGTTTAGTGTTCTTTTAAGTTAAAGGCTTTAACTTTTGTTCAGTACTTGAGTTTGTCAGTCCACATCGTTCCCACATACTTCCGTGATGTTTAACATTTGCATAACCTTCATTATTGCACTGCTGTTGAGTTTGAAGCTTATTTTGAATTACAGCTGTATAGCAGTGTTTATACATACTCAGTGCATATTTGAATTGATCTTCTGAGAAAATCTGTTAGTTTTTCTGCTTTAGGTGCAGGTGTGTACGCCCAGAAAGTATTGCTAGTCTTGCATTTGAAAGTTACAGTTTGTCCTCTTGCACAGAACAGGAGGGTAGTTAAAATGTGTTTCTATCCACACAACAGAAAGGTGGAAGCTACGGAAAAGCAAACACCTGGGTTTTTGGCAGGAGGAACCGTGACTCTTGGGCAGTTCCCACTCAGTAGATGTTCGTAGTATCTCATATATTAGGTGGTCGCAGATCCTGTTTAGAGGATCCCAGTACAGGCTGTGTAGAAACAGATCTAGACACAGTCCAATTGAATAGCTGAACGACATCAGCACATTTTTGTTTACTCTAGCTATTCCACATAGCAGACAGGCAATTCCAATCTTTTTATTTGATGTAACTGACTTCCTTGTTAGTTGTAGTGTGATTAGAGCCCTTTTCCTTAGAGAGGAAAAAAAGACAAGGATTTGCACTCCTGCCAAATATCAGTGTGGTGTAAGGTACTCCATATTGAGTATTTGCATTTGTGTCTGGGTTTGGGGTAGCTAAAAAGTCTCTTCTCAACAAGACTTTGTTGTCAGTTTCACGAATGATTCGAAATCTTGTTTGTGAAAAATTGATTTGCACTGTAATTGTTGACAACTCCTGTTCTCAGGTATCTAACAAAATACCTTCAGTAAAAGATGGAATTCCCAGTACTTAACAGCATTTTTTTCTGAGATTAAGAAGTTAATATTTTGGAAAACATTCATGCTATTAGTGCAATTCTACCTGAACCAAGCTCTTGATACCCTGCTGATCTTTGACCTGGTTGTTAGCACTGAACATGTTGCTGATCCATTAGACAGAAATCCATTTAAAGTAGTTCTGTTCCAACAGCTAGAAGTTTGAATACCTGAGTTTTCATGGGATCATAGAAGTGCTGGGGCATTGGAAGGGACCTCTGGAGATCATCTTATCTAAACCCACTGCTCAAAGCAGCTAGAGCAGGTTGCTCAGGAGTTTGTCCAGTCAGGTTTTGAATATCTCTAAGGATGGAGACTCTGCAGCCTCTCCAGGCAACCTATTCCAGTGGGCAGCCACCCTCACAGTGAACAAGTTTATTTTCTTAGGTTTAAATGGAATTTCCTTTATTGCAGCTTGTGCCCATTGTCTCTTGTCATTTCACTGGATACACCTGAGAAGACTCAGGCTCTGTCTTCTTTACCCCCTACTACATAGTATTTTTATGCAGGTCCAAGTTATCTTTTTTCCAGGCTAAACAGTCCCAGCTTTTGCAGCCTCTCCTTGTGTATCAGATGCTCCAGGCTTTTAAGTCATATTTGTGGCAAGCTGGACTTGCTCCAGTATATCTATGCCTCTTGTTCAGGGAAGCCCAGAGCCGGCTCACCAGTGCTGAGTAGAAGGAGGGATGACGTGCCTTTGCCGCCTGGTAGTGCTGTTCCTAGTGCAGCCCCGGCGTTTGTGGACGCTCGTTGCTGCAAAGGCACGTTGATGACTTACTCTCAGCTTGTCCACCAGGACTTCCGTGTCTTTTTCTGCAGAGCTGCTGTGCAGCCTGTTGGCTTCCCACGTGTATTGGTGCCCAGGCTTATTTCCTCCCCATTGCAGGACTTGGCATTGCCCTTTGTTGCACTTCGTGAGATTCATGTCGGCTCCTTTCTCCACTGTCTCAAGGTCCCTATGGAGTTTCATATCACCTGCCAACATGCTGAGGGTACAGCGTGACCCATTGCCTAGGTCCTTAATGAAGACGTTTAAAAGTATTGGATGAGTGTGGGGCTCTGGAGTGCTCTGCCAGTGGATTGGCTTGAAGCTGTACCTCATGCCACCGATGAGGACCCTACGAGCTTGGCAGTTCTGGCCAGTTTTCAGTCCACCTCACTGCCCATTTGTCTAGTCCATACTTCATCAGTTCATCAGCAAAGATTTTATGAGATAGTGTGTTGAAAGTTTTGCTAACATCAGGATAAACAACATCCATGGCTCTCCCCTCACCCACTAAGCCTCTCAGCGTAGGAGGCTGTCAGGTTGGTCAGCCATGATTTTACTTTCATAAATCCGTACTGATTTCTCCCAATCACATTTTTGCCTATCGTATGTTTTGAAATGATCTCCAGGAATGTTTTACTTTGTCACTAGGCACCCTGCCCTGTTCAGTAATGGGCTCACGTTCTCCTAAGTCTCTTTTCTGCTGAGATACCTTTGGAAGCCCCTCATGTTTTCCTTAACATCCATTGCCAGATTCAGTTCCAGATGGGCTTTGGCTTTCTTTCCTGGCCCCTTCCCTGCATATTCAGACAATGTCTCAGTATTTCTGCATGATCATCTGCCCCTTTTTCGGCCTCCTGTATGCTTCCTTTTATTGTTTTGAGATTTGTCAGGAGGTTCTTGTTCATCTGTACAGGCCTCTTACTGCCTTTGCCTGAGTTCCTTGATTTTCTTATGCCTCTTGCACAGAGGATAGTGTATCATGGGCTTTGTTTGACTTGGCTTTTACACTGTGATTAAATTTTAATGCAACATGAGTAGGAGAATGAGGGGATAGGCTCATTTCTCCCAGTGTTTGATGGGAGAAATACCGTTGGAAGGGTTTTCATGACTGAAGGCTGAGGGTTAAACTGAACTACATCTATGCACAGAGTAAGAAGATGCTAGAAAAAATACTGGAATAGGATAGAAGGGGAAGAGGAGGGCAGGGGCTGCTATGTTCAGTGGTAAGAGGAAAGATGTTGAAATTATATTGCCTCAGACAGTGTTGTGAAAAGCCTGTGTGTGGAGGAAGCAAATAAAAGGGATATCAGAATAGGAAGACTGTAAACATGCTGGAGAATAACTGGATAGACAACATTAAAATCACCAGTTTATCATCCTTTTAATCAATTACTAGTTTAATACATGCTGTCATAAATAAGGTGATTATTTTAATGTGGGAGAGACTGAAAATGAGTGTCTTCATGGTGCAGGCACGTTAATGTAACTCTTTCGTCCAACTTTGAGCTGTACATTGTAGAGAAGAAATCCTGAGGAATACCACCAGAAATTGGAGATTTAGAAAAAGACTGTTTTGATGAGAGGTTGAAGGTTTGAATTCCCCTCAGCAGCTTTGCTTTGAGAGACCAGTCTTTACTGTATCTTCTTGAGTGAACATTTATGTGATCAGTTGTTCTCTCTGTGCACATTTATAGGTTAAAAAATAATTTACTGATTTATGGGCAAGGAACCGAAGTGTTGAAGCCTGAGTGCGTGGGGCGCATCAGGCCTCCCTTTCGTTCCTTCTGTGTGTATTAAGAGCACTCGAAAGAATCTTCTGTCAGGGGTGCTTGTGGGTGGTGCTTCTCAGGGTCGTTGTACCAGTGGGCTGACAGCCCTTAGTGTGTCTTGCTGACTACCTGCATCCATATTAAAGCTGTTTGCTTTAATCCCAAGGACAATTCACTGTTCACTGCCCATCCCCAGAGAGTCACAACACTGTGGTCTTGCGCAGGAGCGTAGGCTAGTCGAGGTGGTCCTGCCCAATCCTATACGAAGCTTTTTTCACACTTGTCTCGAGCTAGAAAGCTTGTTCCACTCTTCTTTGATTTTGTTGGACAGTGGAGTTGGTCTTCGACTGTGTAAGATTTAGGTATAATATTTCAATATATGTGTGTGCGTGCAGGTGTATCTAAGTGTATGTATACAGATGTGTGTGCGCATGCGCATATATACTTTCTACTTTAAATTACATTGGTTCTGTAGCAAGCAGATTTAGATGGTTTGGGTTTTTTTTTTTTAATGGCCGGTGGAAACCTAGCAAATTGGACTTTGTATGTGCTGTCCTACCATTACTTCTAGGAAGTCGTATAGAAAAGGTGTAAGGAGAAGTCATGTGGGTCTGTGTTCTCACAAGTAAGTAACTATTAAAGCTAAGGACTTTGGAAAATGATGCTTATTTGCCTGTGGCTCATGGCTGACAGTGAATTTGCTGTAGTACAGATATCACTCTGTTAAAAACAGAACTGTTTCCGGAAAGATAAGAAAGTGGTTTCAGTGTGTTTAAAGTCAGGGAAGAATATAGTAGAGTGTTGCTCCAAATAAACAGGCCTTTTGGTTGTAGGTAAAAATCTCTCCGAAACAGCCTTGCTCTAACAACATTACTTTTGTTTAAATGTGCGTTTGTTCTGAGCTCCAAAGGCATGCCTGCTGCTATTCCGGTGGCTGGCATGGTTACTGTGCAGGCATGTGTGCAGTAAATCACAGTTGGTGCCAGCCCTGGGAGGGCTCCAGTAGCCAGTGCCGCACAGACCAGTTGCTGGGAAACCCTCCTGCTCCTGGTGCAATTACAGTGGAATCAACTACTCTCCTTTGTGCTGCTTCCTGTAACCAGTGCGGCGGGGAATGCAGTAAAATTGGTATGCTTAAATGGTTTGTTGAAGGGATACAATCCAAGAAAAATAAATGCTGTGCATTTAGGTGGGCCCAGCTGCGCAGGTGATGCCATGCTGCTTTGGGTTCTCTTGGGGCTGTAGAGGATTTAGGGAGGGGAGCTTCCCCTGCCAGTGCTTCTGTGATGGGAAAACGCCACGGACTTAATTAAAAGGTGCAGTGGCATGGTTATCAGCAGGTACCTACCAGAAGTAAGGCATCTCTTTTAAAAAGGCCCCATGTGCTTCAGGCCAGAACTCCAACTGATAAATCTCACAGTAAGAATTCCAAAGCTAGGCAGGTTTCTACTTTTTTTTGAGGAATATAAGGGGAATAGACTATGGGAGGGTTGTAAAGAGCAACATACAGTCAGGTTCACAGAGAACAGAGGGGAAGTGGTGTGTCTGAACAGCCCGGTTTTGGCCTCTCTGCTCCATCAGCTGATGTACTGCAGGCCCTTGTGAGCAGAGCAGTGTGGATTTGCAGAGGACACATGCTGTCTATTTATGGGCTGCTGCCGCTGTACAAACACCTCTTTATCCCTACTCTGAAAAATGATTCTGGCAATAATTGTAGCCAAGGGCTTTGTTTGTACTGATGGGTTGATCAATGGTTCTTTATTACCGCCCTGACTGTGATTGTGCTCTGGGAACGTTAACTTTCTACTGACACCGTTTGCTTGTTATGATAAAGGTCCAAGCCCCACGTTTGTAGTGGGCACTTCCAGTGAAGTATTTAAAAGCTTGCTCTCTGTTACATTAAGAAAAACATAGTCCGTGTCAGGCCAGTAACTCTCCACCACCCCATAAAAACGAAGCTCAAGGCTTTAAATGCATGCCTCCTTTTCAAAGGAAAAATGGACTCTGATTCTGTCCAAAGGTTTCTGGTGCCGTCCTGATTTTTTGAGTGGCAGTTGTTACCGGACTCCAGAAGATGAGAGTCTTCAGCCCGATGCAGGGTGTGCTCATCCTTATGTCACTGAAGGGTAGGGTGGAATCCGGTGAAACACCGTGTGGCGTGGTACTGCTGGGTGGGAGAGCAGGGCTTCTTGGGTGCTTGTGGCTGGTGGGAAATTGCATTCTACAATGTATCCAATGCAATACAAACACTGTGTGAGTTGCTGAGCATCAGATTTACTGAGTGCTAACAAGTTGCTCTGTTGCAGTCAGTGTTGTATATAACATTATACTTTTTCTTTCCCTTATAAGGAACAAAGTAAATGCTTCTACTTTTTTTTTTAACTGTACTGTTTATTTAGTAAAATTTTAAAAACTGTTACCACAAGCTTACTGCAGTAATTCTAAAGGTGTTAATGGGAACAGAGACCCACTACATGACAAAGTAATGCATGAACACTTAGAAAGACAGTCTTTGTCTCAAAGCAGATGTAGTTGAAATTGATACAAACTGTAACGACTAAAAATCGGTATCAGGGTGATGGAGGGGAAGATCCAAGAATAAGTTTAAAAGGCGAGTGAGTTTATCAGTTTCCACAGCTGAAATCTGAAGTTGCAGCAATATTTTTGTGGTGTTACAGACATGGGAAGAGATTGTGTAGTGCAAGAATATCTGAGATATAATTTGCATCAGCATTGTTGTGCACGAGTTGTCAATCCAAAATCTGCCGTATCTGTCTTCAGTGCTGTTGCTAACCACAGCTTATGAAGACTTAAAAAATAAATAAAAAGGGGGGGGAAAAAAGGGGTGGGGGAAAAAAGGGTAAATTAAAAAACAGGAACAAAGGAAAGAAACCACAGCCTGTGATTATCGTGGTAACAGTGCTTTCTTGGCAACATGATCATACGCTTTCCCTGTGAGTAGCAAACCAGCCAGGATATCATGCAGCTGTCTCACACTACACTTTCATCAGCAGCAGGGTTGGGAGGAGCAGGAGCTTCTGGTACTTCGGGATTTTTCCCTCTTCCAGATAGCGGCCAGCAGCCTGCGTTTACCGTGCTTGGACACTGCACACCTCTGCTAGCTAGCTGTGTAGTCAGCACCTGGGAGCTCAGTGGGTTGGAAGAGGCTGTAGCAGAAAATGGTCCTGCAGTGCAGCAAGGGCAGATAGAGTGCAGGTGGTGTGCTGGAACTGCTGGGAGCTGCTGCTGTAGCTGGCTTAGTCTAGCACCTGCTGTATCACTGTAAGAAATTTCAGCTGGGTTCCAGAGCAGTAGCTCAGATGCCTAATGAAAAATGTCTTTCAGTAGGAAATGTTTGAAGGAAGCAAACGCTGCATCCATTTGTAGCAGTAGTGATTCCTGCTGTTGTTTGACTGCTTATTCTAGGGGGTCCGATCTCCATTCTTAGGTCTCAAATGCATTAGTTCCATGCTAGTATTAATGAAAATTGCCTTGCCAATTTCCTGCAAATTGCACTTGCTCTTAAATTATGAAGAGATCAATGTCAAATACCTTTTGACGTGACAGCTTTTTTATGAGGGTAAATCTTTTCCTACAAAAAGCACTGTTCTGATAAATAGTTCTGACTATTTCTTCTGACAGTTCATTTTCTGCATAGCTGCAGATTTAATACACATGGGTTATTCGGGTTAGGTTTGAATCATGACAGAGTAATAGCTTTTGTGAATAAAACCAGATTTTAAAAGAAGAGGCATTGTTGCTTATCTTGAACCATGACTAGTTTTTTGCTGAGCGTTTGCCTTCTCCATGGTGACCAGGAAAGGACTCGGTTGAATTGCTTCCCATTACACCATTCTTTTTAAATGGAAAAGCTGTTGCTGTTTCCTCTGTGTGTGCGTATAGACAA